TTTTTTTTTTTTTTTTTTCTTTTTTTTTTTTTCTGTTCAGGGTAGGGCTGCTCCCGTGCGGGGACTTCGCTGCTATTCCTGGCTTTGCCATGGGCTTATCGGGAGAGGCCGGGCCTCCTCCCTGTTTTCCTGCCTGCTGATGTGGGTTGCCTGCTCGCCCCGAGATGCAGTGGGTTCTGGCTAGCCCCGGGGATGGGAGAGGGAAAGGATAAAGCTCCTTTTAAGAGGCGAGAACAGGAAGAGGGCGGGAGGGAGAAAGTAGGGACGAGCACTGTAAACCCTGCCTTTTTTTTCCTTTCTTTTTTTTTTCTTTTCTTTTCTTTTTTTTTTTTTTTTAATAGTAAACAGCTATTCTGGAAGCAAGGGAGTAAACTCTGCTCGCAATGGGCACCGGCTGCCGGGCTGCGGGAGTTGCTGGTGTGAAAGTCCCGCTCGCTCCTGCGAGCTCTCCCTGGCAAATTGGGTTTCCGGCTGGGATTTGGGTTTTCGCTACTGTGGGGGGAATGGTTTGCAGGGAGGAATAACCCCCCCCTCCAGCCCGTTGCCCCATTCCTGAAACGCCAGTGAGGGCGAGGGGAGCATCGCCCCCGAAGATCCCTGCCACGAGCAGAGCTAATGGACGCTGATGAGCTGCCGTGTTTATTAATGCCCTTTTATGAGAGCATTAATAGTTCCTAATGACACCATTTGAGCTTCCCAGCCTTTTATCTTCTCTTTCTCTCTTTCCCCCCGCCGAGGACACAGTGTAGGAGGTGGAATTAGATATTTCCACCCTCCGGTCCGTGCTGCGCGGTGTGGAGCGCTGATGGGGCACGGGATGCTGGTGGGATGCTCGCGCGGAGACATGGGCAGCCTTCAAAATCTGTGCCGCACAATTTCGGTGCCAGGAACTCCTTTCTGTGCTCTTTTCCTCGGCCAAAAGAGCAGAGAAAATTATTCCCCCCCCCAAATTCCTGACACCCCTTTGCCGAGCCACACACTGGCCGCGCCGGGGCTCTCTGATAGATCCCAGCCAGCCCTCGCTGTTGCCCTGCTGCACATCGCAGCGTAGGGCGGGGGGGAATAAATAAATACAAATAAATTAAGAAGGCAGTGAGTCACATTTTGTTTTCCTCTTGATCTTTTTTTTTTTTTTTTCCCCTTTTTCTTTTCTTCCCCCTCTCCAGAACGTGTCTGATCCCATCGGGAGAGGAGGGGAAAGGGATGGGTGGCGAGCGCGCCAGCGATTCGCCCGGGCGAGGACGGAGGGTTATGGAAAGTGGGTGTGGGAATCGGCACAATCGCTGGCAGGGGACCAGGACAAACAGATGACGGATGGGACCCAGGGCTGCGCAGCAGAGCGGGGCTAGGTCGCTGCCGCCCGGCCGGGAGCGCACCCCATCCCGGTCCCGGGGGGAGACCCCCATGGGACCCCTCTGGGTGCTGGGGGCCGCGTCCCACGGGACGGCAACCGAGACCCGGCATCGCGCTGAGACGATTAACCAACAATTAGCCAAGTGGGGAAGTTAATCCCCAAACAAACAGGGCTCCTCCTGCGCCGCTCGCTTACGGCGCGCTAGCTTGATGCAGGGGAGGGGGGGAAGGCGGTTTCAAAGCCGGCGCAGTCGGGAGCCCA